CGTGTGTGTATATATATATGTGTTAATAAAATTTATCTTTATACTGGAACATCTCCAATGTATCTGTGCTTTATTTTTTCTTGTATACAATTTGTTAATTTTTTGAAAAACTCATTTCGCCACTGATAGGAATTTTGTGTATTATTTCATTAATTTAAGATTATTTTACTTCAAAAGGTTGTATTTTATATACTTTTAAAAGGCTTTTTAACATGACTATATGAAACACAGAATTTCAGATTGTTATAATCTGAATTTTTCTTTCAAAAAACATTTTGCTATAAGGGATGCAACTATTGTACAAATTGCATGTCATACTTTCCTTTCGTTAAATTCCCCACTTCATGTTATTACTGCTCTGTATAGAAAACTTTGTTTAAAAAATAAATAAAGAAAAATAAATAAAGAAAAATAAATAAAGAAAAATAAATAAAGAAAAATAAATAAAGAAAAATAAATAAAGAAAAAAAATAAAGAAAAATAAATAAAGAAAAATAAATAAAAAAAAAATAAATAAAAAAAAAAAAAAATAAATAAAGAAAAATAAATAAATAAAAAAAATAAATAAAGAAAAATAAATAAAAAAAAATAAAGAAAATAAAGAAAAATAAATAAAGAAAAAAAAGAAAAATAAAAAGAAAAAAAAAAAAAATAAATAAAGAAAAATAAATAAAGAAAAAATAAATAAAGAAAAATAAATAAAAAAAATAAATAAAGAAAAAAAAAAAATAAATAAATAAAAAAAAAATAAAAAAGAAAAAAAATAAATAAAGAAAAATAAATAAAGAAAAATAAATAAAGAAAAATAAAAGAAAAAAAAAAATAAATAAAAAGAAAAAAAAAATAAAAAAAAATAAATAAAGAAAAAATAAATAAAGAAAAAAAAAATAAAGAAAAAAAAAAATAAATAAAGAAAAAAAATAAATAAAAAAAAAAAAAAAATAAATAAAGAAAATAAATAAAAAATAAATAAAAAAGAAAAAAAATAAAAAAAAGAAAAAAAAATAAATAAAGAAAAATAAATAAAGAAAAATAAATAAAAAAAATAAAAAATAAATAAAAAAAAATAAATAAAAAAAAAAAATAAATAAAAAAAAAATAAATAAAAAAAAATAAATAAAAAAAAAAAATAAATAAAAGAAAAATAAATAAAGAAAAATAAATAAAGAAAAATAAATAAAGAAAAATAAATAAAGAAAAATAAATAAAGAAAAATAAATAAAGAAAAATAAATAAAGAAAAATAAATAAAGAAAAAACTTAAATTTAGGGTTACCATATTGGTCTATTTGAAAGCCTAGTGATACTAAACATTTAATTTGACATTTTTTTTTATTAATAGTCTAAGTGACAAGTAGCAAAATTCAATATTTATTAGTAACCCTTCTAGCAACCCTGGTTATATTAGTTTTCTTTTGTAAATGTCATTAAAAATGATGGCAGTGACATTAAATAAGGATCTAAAATTACTAAGAATTTAATACCAAATTCCCAACCTTAAACAGAACTTAAAAATTAAATAAAATCATACAAGACAAAATGAAATGCTTGTATTGGAAAATCAATTATATTTAAAAAATAAAAAATTAGTAGTTATTAAACAAGGAATAATAATTATAATAATGAAAATTAACTTTTTTCTGTTTGCAACAATAGACTTGCCCATCACCGAGTAATTATTAGCAAGCTGGTATCATTACTAAGTTATAAGAAAAATCTCTTCTGATGGTAATATAAGCAAGTATCATGTTTAAAAAAAATAAAATTAAAAAAAATAAAATTTTAAAAATAATATATGTCATTTATATATAAATACATAAATATGTTATTTAATTTCTTTTGTAAGAAAAATGTCATCTAGTCAATTCTTTTTCACAGGTAATAACTCATAATAAATTAAAAAAAAAAAAACTAACTATAACACTCAGTAACACTGCTACATTTTTGTCAGTTGATAACTTATTAAAATACTAGTGACAGAACAAGTATTTTTGGTAAGAAAAAGTTGCAAGTAATATATTCTAAAAGATTAGAAAAATAGTTCTTGGACAATCCACCTCTATAAATAATATAATCACTAAACGAAAGCAAATGAAGCCATATATTCTTAAATATTTTCTCTCCTAAACTCTGAACTTTTAATGTATATAAAATGTTGAATATAATTGAAGTGTGCTCAAAAAAAAATAAACAAATAAATAAATAAAAAAAAAAAAATATATAGAAGTGCTTTGTACATTTGTACTTGTATAATAAAAAGCTTGGTGAATAAAAGATGAAAAATTTGTGTAATGAATAACAATTCAATAGAGTACATATGACCTGAATCTTATTCTCACTCTCCTTACTGAGAAGAAATATCAACTTGAAATTAGATAATATTCACTTAACTTCTGTTAGGAAGCCAAAGACTTATTGAAAGAAAGAAAAATATTTTTTTCATAATTCTCTTAATTAAAATGAGAAAATCTGTCTTTTGCGAGAGAGAAATTGAAGCAAATCAATAAATAGGGGGAGATGTCTACTATTTACATACAGAGCAAATAGCTTCTTGCTATTTCATTTACAGTGAGTTTAATAATGCAAGAAGCAAGCTCGCATAGATATTAGTTTCTGGCACATGCAGAACAGCTTCATGTTCTTAAAATAAGACATTACTATTACTACTACTACTACTTATATTACAACAATTCTTTTATCATAATGGCAAAAGATAAAAATCAATGTTGTATGTTACTATGGTATTCAAAACAAGTAGTGAAAAGTCCATCATGGATACTCAATAAATATTTCATATAATAATCGGAGATTATGTGCTTTTATTTCTTAGCAATTTGATGAAAAATTACACATTACAAAAGCAATCATGATATAAAGACCTCAGAAATACATGCTCAATACAATAAATTCTATGCAATCAAACTGAAAGAGCAAATTTCAATACCTGCTTGTTATATACAGAATCTGAAATATTCATAATTCTTTCAATTTCTGGTGAATATTTTCATTTTCTTTTTAACAGTTGGATTCCATAATTCTAACTCTGTGACAGAAGAGCGGTAATAATAAAAATGTTAAAAACGGTAATATGATAAAAAAACGAAATGAGCAATTTGAAAGTTGTCAAGTAACTTCTTGAATTCTTGGAACAGTTCCAAATAAACCTGAATAAAGTTGTTGTCTCCAGAGAAACAGACAGGAGTTGACAAACTTATAAATGAAACTGGCAAGACAAGCTCAAATTCTGGCAATGTTTGTTCACTTTGAACTAATGCCATTGGTAAAGGCATGAATCCACTCCTAGGAGGCACAGTGGAGTAATGGATAGCAGCTCAGATTGAGGAATCAGAGGGCTGAGTTTGAATTCCAGTCAAATCCATTACATTCACTTACGTGCTAATACCCTTGGGAAAGGTATGAATCCCCCCCACCAGCTATAGGTAAATAGCAGGAGAGACCAGGTTCTATAGCCTTGGATGGCAACTGGTCTACAGCAGAAAGAAATGGCAACCTACTACGGGAAAAAAAATTTGCCTCATCAGTCATGTATTGAAACATACATGATCACCTAAGCATGTATCACACATGGCACATAACTGACTATGGGTAAAATATGGCAGACTGGACTCTCTAGTTTTAGTTTGGTAACTAGTCTAAGAGAAAGACAATAATTCTGTATTCATACCGGTAACAGTATAGTGCTAGCAACTCAACCTTGTGAAGAGAGCTGGAGACTGAAACCAAATCAATGTCATTACAAACATCACATGACAAGTCAATAAAGAGGCATGACTATTCTTGATTGGCTAATACAGGAATTTTAAAATCTGCACAGATATATAAATAAAGTTATAAAAAATTGGTTTATATCCATAGCACGAAGATCAACAAATCTAACCTTCCTTAAAAACTCAATTTGCAAGTGTATTTAGTTTGATTCTTGCACTTCTCTTGTGCCAGAAATAAGCCAAGCCTAGTATATAATTTTTACAATATCCTAAAAAAGAATGTCACTTATATAATTTGTATTCTGCCAAAATTTAGACATATACTGGACATAATACTCAAACTGGTTTAAAGCTTCTAAGCTAGAATATTCATGAGAAAAAAATACTGCTGCCAGAAGAAATGATATCCATGAATTAAAAGAGAAAAACTTGCCAAGGTTCAATTATAATGCAACTATTTTGATGATATGGTTACTTCAAGTCAGCACTAGGCTGAACAAAAGAACAGCCAATGATACTATTCAAGCCTTGAGAATATTTCAATAGATTAAATATTTATGTCACTCAAAACTAAATGTGTTTACAAGAACACACTTATTAAATGTCTGAAAGACCTACTCTAAGTCAAAATGATTATTATGACAGACATTTTATAGACATGCTCAGTAGAAATTGAAGATTAATTCACTATTGTTTTGCAAGTAAACTATTATCACAAATAAGTGTCAAATATGTTATTAACAAAATTTGAAATAATCTTTTTGATTATATAGAATTAAGTTAAATTATTCAAAATATCCGTAACAATAAAAAAAATTCTTAACTCATGTTCAAGTTGTACTAGAAGATTATTTTCCAGATATGTCCATAATAAAAAGGGAAGATGTTAAGACATATTTTGACAGTGATACTGATAAACCTTACCTGACAAATTTATAAATGTAGTGAATTTAATCCTTATGGGTGCCCACTAGTAATAGCCTTGTACCAGATAAAGCTATGCTTATTAGATAAAAGAAAATAAAACAAGTTATTAAAAAAAAAAGTTGTTTGTCAAATTCTTTTCATGATTAAATAAGCATGTAGTGAGATGGAATGGAAAAAGGTTTTTCTCCCACCACAATACATAATGTCTATTCACTTTGTGCTTACACATGATCTTCATACATTGCAAAATAATTTGAGAAGGGGGTGAAAGAAAGTAAGAACAAGAGAGAAAGAAAGAGAGTTATGTCAGTGTAAATAATTGCTGAACATCTGGTAAGGCATTAACTAAAAGAGAGTTGAAAGCAGTGGATGGTTGCGCGGGAGGGTGGGTGGAGGGGGTATATGTAGAAAAATAAAAGCAGAAACAAAAGAAAGGGTTGAATAAAAGATATTGAGGAGAGAGAAATGAATACAGAAAACGATGGAAAGTCGCATGGGGTAGGTGGCGGGAGTGCAGATTATGAAGAGTGTCAGGCTTGTTGCATTTCATTGATTTAAGAGAACTACAATAAATAAAAATTGCACTGTCCATTTTTACAGCAGACAATTCTAAGATTTACAGTAGATTAAGTCAAACAAATTGTAAGGTGAAAAAAAATCAGTAGAAGAAATTTTAAATTATACACACATATATATATATATATATATATATATATATATATATATATATATAATTTTGTATATCAACAAACAGTATTTAGAAAAATATAACTAACTGGAAAATTTCTTTTGATGCATTTCATCCGTTAGGATTTCATCAGACTAGGCTTTGTTGATGTTGCCATGTGTACAGATGCACATGAAATGAGAGATGCAGGTAGTTTCAAAATTTTGAAAGAATTTTATTTGTTTATTTTTTTTTTGTTTCAATCTAGCCAAATTCATCTGTATTCTTATTCTTTTTCTCTCCATCACCTTTTCCCCTGACTATCCCACACTGTGACAGATAATCTACCATGAATGGTGATATATTATAAGAGCCTGGACACAAATTTACCATGGCTGAACTAGCGATCAAAGCACTTCAGATATTTTTGTCTCAGTGGATTATTTTCTCTTTTAATCAAAGTAGCATGCCCCATGTTAAAATTGTGATCAGTTTTATTATGGTGAACAATGTGTGTTATTTAAAATATCCCTTTTGAAATTTTTAAGAAATTCTTTCGAAATTTTGAAAATAAGGAAAATATCAGGAGGAAAATGTTTTATTTATTATGACTAAGAATCTAGCAATGACAAATTAATTTTAATATAAGGACAAAGAAAAGCAATAAATAACCTACTGAACAAGATTGTTTAAATGGTTGTCAGAATAGGGGCTAATAGTAATAAAAAAAAATAAAAAATAAAAAAAAATAACCCTTATTAAAGAGATACAAAGGATAGGAACTTATGAAGAGCCATAATTGCCCATGCTCTTAAGGGATATGCCACATAGAAGATTTAAATTTCAACAATATACTATAGCTGATGGTACTTTGCTTATAATACAGGGTGTTTCAAAAAATTTGATATCATTTCGCAATCTAATATCTTTGTTAGATCTCCTTCAAATGACTTCAAATTTTAATAGCATCTTTATGTTTAATGTTTGTTTTATGTTTTTATGTCTTTATGTTTTTGTGTTTTTCTTATTTGTATTTTTATGTTCTTTAATCTTTAATCCTTTTTCTTTTAGGGTATAAAATGCCGTGTCTCAGGCGGTACGCATATTGAACATTTGTGAAATCGTTCACATAATCCACAGGCTTTTGAATTTCTCATTCAGATTTGGAAGAATAAATCTTATGATCTTCAACATTAATACTTTTTAATTTCATTTGCCTTAATCATGTACTTTCTGTGATATTTACATCTCAAAGGATATCAAATTTTTTGAAACACCCTGTATATTCTTAAAATCAATGCTACAAATAATTTTAGAACCTACAACAGTAGTTGTCAAATTAAAAAAAAAAAAAAAAAAAAAATCTGTCCAAGATTTTGATAAATCATAAAGAATGAGTGAAAAGAGCAGAACATATATCAATTCAAATAAAGTATGGATCAGAAAGACTGAAAAGTATCAATGATTGCCATAAAAATAGAGCAGGATCATGTATTCAAATATGTCAGTTTTTGTTACAAGTTTCAGGTCATTTTTTTTTTCTTCTAAAGATGGAAACTCTTCAAAGGTAATCAGTAAATTGTTTCTCTCTTGAGGCAGTTTAGAGAGAAGCAGAGTAAATAGTTAAAAAGATGCTATTCTATTAACAATATTCTCTAGAGCATCAAAGTATGCCTCCTCCTCAAAAGGAGTTCAGTTTTAAGTGTGGCTTCATTTACCCCCCCCCTTTTTAATTACACCTGCAAATTGCTTCAGATCAATTAATATAAAGAAAAAATAGAACAAATTTGTTTTTTAATTTCTATATATTAAGTGGATAGTTGCATACTTATAATGTAACAATGTTAGAAAATGATTGACGGATTTGTTTTTTATGGTTTATCAACCCTTTGTAGGTTATTTAAAGCCAAAAAATATTTTTAAATTGTAAGAATTTTTGATAATAATTTACTGATACAAGTCCTACTAATTAACCCATAGGTGTGGGGAGAAGAGGTGGATTCATAGCTTTCCCAAGGGTATTTGCATGTAAATAAATATAACAGACCTAACTGGAATTGGAACCTGACTCACCAATGTCCAATTCAGAACCATTATCTATTACCTGCACATTCAAGCTTTCAGCACCTGGTATTCCCAAGCAGTCATTCATCTAAGTACTGACCAGACCCAATATTGCTTAATTTTGGTGTTTGTATGGGAACTGGTGTTTCAATATGATATGGCCTTAAGCACAATATTCTAAAAAGCCATTTGAGACTCATATCTTTATTGGTCTATCCCTCACCCACAACTCCATCTCTCAAATGAATAAACAACCTCATTAGGTGGTAACAAGCAGCAATCTATTCATCCCTAAAAGAAAATCTTATCTGCCAAACATCTTTCAATAGCAAAAAAGGATGTTTACCAGTGGGGGGAGGGGGGTTAATAATTGTTGATTTTCTGTCAAATTGGATCAATAATTACAATTTTTCCTAAAGAAAAAAGTTGAATTCACTTAAAAGGAGTCATTTTCTTTAAAAATTAAAACTCAACATTATTTTACGTATTCTTTTTTTATAACTAGCAATGATACTCAGTGTGACAGGAGATAAAGTCTTTCTTTTGCTTTGCTGTACTATGCAGTTATCTGCTTGTATCTAAAGTAAAATGCTATTAGCAAAATTATTGTAATTGAAGCAGTTAAGTAGGTTTAAACATTTTTATACTTGCTTATATTTCCAATATTTGTTACATTTTCAGGTCCTGCTATTAAAAATATCAACATTGATTATTTCTCTTTAACTGTGATCTAAATACTAATATAGTTACCACTTCCAGAGCAAAAACTGGAATTAATTGAATAACTAAGAAATGTAATTATAAAAAACATCTGCAAAACACAAAGATTACAAGATTGGACAAAAGTTTTTTTTTTTTTTTTTTACAAAGTTTTATTTTTAAAGTTGAATATGCAAATTTGGTAAGATAATACATATGCTGGTAGATATAAATGATGAAGGCTTGTATTTATATGTTTAATTTTGTTGGTTTTGAGTTGGACACACACAAGCAAACCAAACTTTATAGATTATCTTCTGCCTCAAAGTTTTTTTTTCAGCAAATTATGTTCAAAACATTTTATTGAATTTAATCCCCAACACAAATAATATGGCATTATGATTGAGGGATTTATTTCCTTAGTGTTATTAGACAAAAGATGGGGGGAAATCGATTCTGAGAACTTTTTAATATCTATACTCAAATGTACAAAACAAGTCACTCGCTATGACTGAGATTTCCAGCAAAGTGTTGTGTTGAAACGCATTATATACAGTCTAAATGATATATATCTGACAGAACTTAAGTATTGGGTCACAAAGAAAATCGTGTCACCAATGCAAAACTGGGAAAACTGTGATAGGCTTCTTTCAGTTTTTATAACCTCAATCCATCTTTAAAAATAAAAAAAAATAACTGTTTTTAAAATGCATCTTCATGTGAACACACAAGTGTTTTAATAAAAACCAAGTCCCCAGTGATATAATATATTTTGGAAACATTAGTCTAGAGTTGCACAAATAGATATCAGATAAAATTATTTCTTCAGAGACAACCATGAGAAAAAAGTTTTTAAATGATTACCTAGTAAATAAATCTTTTCTCCAAGGGCTAAGAGACCTAACAAATTCAAAAGCTTATGAACAACAAGACCCATTCATACAAATTTTTAGCAATAAATTAATATCTAGTACAACAGATAGATATTTAAACTGTTGAACAAAAATTAACTAGATAAGAAATTAGAATTTCAATTAAAAAAAAAAAAAAAAAAAAATCTCAAAAGAACAAAAAAGTTTAACAACATCAGTTTAATAAAAGTAGAATACTTCAGTCAGTTTCTTCATGGAGATCAATATCTGACGAAAGTAGATGACAATTTTGTATTCGTCATTAGTCAGTAAAGATCCAAGAATGACTAAGAATTTCTAAAAAGGAGCTTCCTCAGTTTTTTCACATGAAAATCTTTACATTAATATGGCGTGCTATCAAGTCACATTAAAAGTACCAGTTCTTGTCTGATCAGAGTTAAGCATTGTGGAGACTGGTCAGTACTTCGCTGGGTGACAGAGTACTGTCAGCAGCCTACTACCTTGTATTACATTAAACTTAAATAAAATAAGCCTATGACGAGTAAGCCAAAAGAAAAATAACTTCTTGCAATGCATCAATCATTTTTCTTATTAGTCAAGAGAGTCAATTTATTAAGGTCATGAGAATTGACAAGGATATCAAATGGATTTTTTTTTTTTTATAAACTACAAGAAATCATAAATTCTAAGATTTCACGAAGTTGATAAGAATGGGTGATAAGTTATAAAATCTACAAAATATAAATATTAAAAATATCTTATGACAGGTACGAGACAGCATCGAGATTTTTCACCAATTTTATTACACCATATGCAAAGATTGTTAATCATTTGCAAAGTAATGAATACACTTTCAGTTTTTTTATACTATTTTTCAAGATTAGAAAAAATTAAAATTCTAAAATTTTTAAGTAAAAAAAAAAACAAAAAAAAAAAAAAAAAAAAACTATTCTGTTATAGTGAAATTCACAACTACTAAAAAAGAAAAGGGAATTGACTCACAAATTGAACCAATTTTATTTTATATATATATATATATATATATATGCACATACATATCTAATGCAAAATAAAGATAGTTGACATTTGAATTGTAGAATAAAATTAGCACAGTCTTGGTGATAAAGTGGTCATAGGAGAGTGATTTGTGTAATTCTCATTCACTGACTTCTCTAATTACCATGGCATGCTATCCGTTATCCCCCACCTCTCCAATGAACATTGATGTTCACTGGAGATGGGTGGGGAGAGAAGTGAATTCATATCTTTTCCCTAAGAGCATTAGTATGATGAATATAATCAGTCCCATCTTATTTTGCTGATTCCATTTTCAGTGATACTAAGGGTGATGTAACAATGGGTAGATCCAAGAAGGGGTGGAGGGATTATTTACATTTAGATCAGTATTGCTACATAAGATCATTTCAGCATTGTTAAAAAAGTGTTGTTGATTATATATTTTATTAAAAACAGTTTTATGGTATGGTATATTTATGGGTTAAAGTGCTCAATATCAGGAATAGAGTATATATAAATATGAAAGTGAACATTGAAGTCACTAATATCCAGCAGTAACATGGCTTGAAAATTGCATTTAAGCATGAAACAGACTGTCACCTCTCACCTCAGTGACCACTCTCTCTAACACACACAAGAGAGTTTTTGGTCCAACTCACTTCACAATATCAGAATACAAAGCAGGTCAGGCAGAGGACATTTTAATAATCTAATATATTTTATAAGTCCATTAAAGGACCTTGGACCTTTCACAAGATCTTTAAAACATATGGCTATTACATGACATATTGACAGAACTGATGAATTTAGAGTTGTTCTCCTACATTGGTTGCCCTAACCAAGGCATGAGCTCAGTCTGCTTTACTATTTCAGCCATAGCTGAGGATTTGAGCAAGAGAAGAGATACTTTCATGCCATCTTAAAATGCATTAGTGCAAAATAAATGCAAAGCCTTGACTGCAATTTCAACTCAGCCTTCCAATTTCATTTTACACCACCTACACATAACATTTTATATATATAGTTGCTTATATTAGTTTTATTACCCACCAGAACTTCAAGAATGTAGATGTTGGTTTTTGTTAAGATATTTTTTCTGGTAACAACTACTTGGTCTACCTGAAAGTATGTGTAACAATTTCTGAGAGTTGAAACTAAAGTCTCAATTTACCAAAATATGGAGAGGTCCTGAAGAATAAATTAAAACTTTTTAATTTTATTAGATCATCTTGATGATTTAAGAACTAACCATAACACACCTCAATAACATTCTAAACATGCTTGCATACAAATAAAATGATCAAAATAGAATTACTGCATTAGCAAAAATTATACACACACACACACACTACTAAAAAGTTCTTGGCTTGACACACATTCCAAAATTTGCTGAAATATCAAATACCAGAATTTTTCCTGGAAGGACAAACATTTTCACCACATTGTGTGTGTGCACATATATATATATATATATATATATGTGTGTGTGTGTGTGTGTATGTATGTGTGTGTGTGTTTGCTCACAATGTACTTTTGGTATTGTTTGTATACTGAAAAGTAAAGCACTGTATACTGATGGATGACTTTGTAAATATTAAAAACCTACACAAAAATGTAAAGGAAACTTACAAATGCAATTATTTAAAAATGGTTTTTATTTGCATCTAGACATTAAGATGATGGTTAAAACAATTACAATCAACCATATTAAAAACATTGATTTCAGAATAAACATTACTATTTTTTGCTGTGTGCACTATTTTCAATAAATAAATAAAAATTACACAAAACAGGAAATAAACGATAATGCTTATCTTAATATTAATTTATTTTTAATCTGGTCAAAATTTAAAACAAGACAATTGATCAAATATGCACATCCTCTCACATCTTGATAGCTTTAACTAAATTCTCAAATTACTGAACATCTAGAAATGCATCCACAAGAATCTGCTGTGAGAGATTTACAGAATTTTTTTTAATTGGCAAAATAAATAAGATTGAATACACATGGGGCAGAGAGAGAGAAAGATAAAGAGAGAGAAATATCAGTTTCTCAAAAATGAAAATTAATCTCAAAGAGTCTACTCAGTAACCTCCTCTATAGAAGTACCAAAACCAATCTATGCCCAATTATGGTAACAGCTTAGATATCAGGTGAAGAATTGCTTTTGAAAAAGCTAAAAATCAGCTGCTTCACACTTCCTTTGTTGCACACAAATGCATCAAGAAAAAAAAAAAAAAAAAAAGTCACATATCTAACAAACAGCACTTTAATTTTCCAGGATGACACAATAGTCACTTGGTCACTATGAAATTCTGTATATAGGCAAAGTCAAACAACTTCTGACAACTATTGATTTTTATGCTATAAAAGTCAGCAAAATTACTTGTCTCAAGTAGAGAGTTGATAAACTGGATTTCATTTCAAATAAAAGATAAAAATAATACCTGAGATATTAACTAAAAGAAAAAAAAGTAGCATTTAATTGATAATGATGTAAATAATGACCATTGTCTATTTTTCAGTTATTTGAAGCAGATCAACATAGTTTCCTATTTTTAATATGATATG